TGATTTGGTGAGGAAGAAGGGAGAAGAGAGAGAAAAAGAATAAGAGGAAGAAAGAAGAAGGGTGAGTAGAGAAAGGAAGGAGGAAGGTTGATAGAGAATGAGGTAAAACTGTCGAAGGACTATTTTTTTTTTGATAGAGAATGAGGTAAAACTGTCGGATACGGGCGGGAAACCGAAAATAGTCCATAATTTTGAAAACTAGACAGGATCGGTCAATCAAACCATTTCAACCAACACCCGATTGTATAAACAATTCAAGTACACTTTTAAAGTTGTTTGAGCCATTAAACCGTTTGAAATAGTTAAAACTGCTCAAACTAATATAAACTGGTTAAGAATTTTGCAAAGTAATATAGATAAAGTTAAAGTAAGAAAAATATTTATCGATTTTAAAAAATAAAAAAAATAGTAATTAATTTAAAAAAAATTCAAAGTCAAAAAAGAAGTTATTTTGAGACGAGTCTTAACTACTATAAAAAAAAAATGTTGTTCATGTCGACTTGTTAGAAAAAATTGTAAGAATATAAATGAAATTATTTAAATATTTTTAATTAATTTTCTTAGATGTTAATTTATTATGTTATTTGAATTTTTTTATGGATATATTTGCACTTTTTTTCACAAATTAACCTAAAATCCATATTTTTATATTAATATTATTGAGAAAAAGGCTCTACTATTCAACCAAAGAAAAAGACCTTACCATTCCCATGTTAATATATCAAAAAATTGTCTTATAATTTATCCTTTGACAGATTGTAATATTAAGACCATTAAAAATGAAAAACTCTTTAGTATTGAGTCTATTCCTTTTAATGGCCCTAACCTTACAATTCATTACATGGCGAATCGTAAGATACTACACCCTTAATATAATGAAATCAACTGCCTCTTTTTCTAAACATTATTTTTTTTCATTTCCACCTACTTAAATAGTCCTACCACTTGATTAAAAAAAACAAAAGTAGCCGTACTAGTTTGTTAAGATATCTTGGTCAGTGTACTAAAATTCTTGGCGGCTTATCCACAGTGCCACACAAAAGTCTCCGAACATTTTTATAACCAAATACTCTGCCAAGCAAGCCACCTGCACATGGATCCCCGATTTAAAAAGAAAAAAGATTGCAGTTGTCTTACACCCTTAATATGTTGAAATCAACTGCCTCTTTTTCTAAACAATATTTTTTTTTTTTCATTTCTAACTACTTAAATAGTCTTATCACTTGAATTGGGTTTTCCCCAATAATTCTCACATGTTCAAAAAAAAAAAAAATCTTACACTTGGTTAAAAAAAAAAAATTAGCCCTACTAGTTGATTAAGATGTCTTGGTCAGTGTACTAAAATTCTTGGCGGCTTATCCACAGTGCCACACAAGTCTCCGAACATTTTTATAACCAAATACTCTACCAAGCAAAGCCACTTGCAAACGGAGCCCCGA